CTGGCGCGAAAGGGCGCGAGGGCCTCTCCCGCCGCTCGCGGGAGCCCTCTCCAGGCGTCCCCGAGGTCACAAGCGGGGGTCCCTCGCCCGAGACCAGGTGTAGCCCCTCCTCCTCCTCCTCCTCCTCCTCCTTCTCCTCCTCCTCCTCCTCCTCCTCCTCCTCCTCCTCCTCCCTCCTCTCCTCCTCCTCCTCCTCCTCCTCCTCCTCCTCCTCCTCCTCCTCCTCCTCCTCCTCATTCTCCTCCTCCTCCTCCTCCTCCTCCTCCTCCTCCTCCTCCTCCTCCTCCTCCTCCCCTTCCTTCCTGATCAGCATCAAGGTTCCCAGCACAGTGACCCTGGGGCCGTCTGGGGGTGCCCCACCGAACGCGAGGGGGGCTTGTGCCCTCCAGGCGGCGGCAGCACTGCTCACTCTCGCCGAGAAGGGCACGTGGCCACGCTCGCCTGGCGGTGGCGCCCCGTTGGTTCGCAGTCCCCCACCCCGCCGACAATACTCCTCCTAACATCATCCCATTGTTCGCGCGCAGGCAACCCGTGGCTGCAACTGCTGGAGAAGAGGTAAAGTGGAGGCTAAGTTGAGGGTGATGCGCGCAAAGGTGCAGCTACTTGCCGATTGCATAGGTGCTGCTGGCTACGGCCGCGGCCGCCCTGGCCCTTGCCAGGACGGCCCGCGGCGAGTCCTTGTCCACTCCCACACTTAAATCCAGCCCCATCCCGCCACCGAATGAGGAGGGATGGTGGGGGGCTAGTGAGTCGAGAGGAGGGAGTGGAGGTTGGATGCTTTTGGAGCCCTCGTTGCGGCACATGCGCCGGATGATGTTACATAGCTCGCGGGCGAGAAAGCCCCGATGGGGGCCCACTGCGTAGCACAGTTGACGCGCGTGTGCTCGCCGTGCGCTGCAACCTGTGGGCGTCCAAGTCCTGCTGGTGTCATAGGAGGTGGGTATGGAGTGCGAGCGTGCAGCTGCGCTTCTGCCGATCGCGTCGGTCAGCGCGGGCCGCGAGGTACAAGGATAGTGCCGAGGCGCGGTGTAGGAAGAAGGTGGCAGCTGGAGCGGTGTCGCCTGTCTATCATGGAGCAATATTTGGCAACATTGGGCAAGGTGAGGCGGGCGGTGGCAGGCGCGCTGATAGGCCGCTGTAAGGCCGGTCCCATCAAGAGGCGTAGGCCTCGGAGGTTGTGGGCGATCAGGGGGGGTCCCCTGATCTGCCGCAGGGGTGTCGTGCTGACATTCCCTCTGGCATTCCTGGAAGGCGACCTCGAACGGTGGCCGCGGCTTCGAGCCGTCGTCAGCTGCGTGTGGGTGGTCATCGTGCTCTCCGTCGGCATCGGCTGGTGGCTGCTGTCGGCCAGCCGTCGCTGCGCCTGTTGTACAGGGTTGTTGTGGTGGAGCAGATCGGTCTTCGCTGCGGCGTTGCGCTGCGCTTGCTGAGATGCGCGCTGATGGTGCCATGCTTGCTTAGTCTGCAAGGGCTGCGCCCCGCTGGTTGAGCCTGTTCGGCGCTTCGTTGAAGGCCAGCCCCTCGCCCTGCAGCGGGTGCCCCAGCGTAGGTGGGTCAGGGTGGCGCGGATCGGCCTGAAGGTGATCTTGCAGGGTGGTCGTCGCGTCGTTAGCCTGCACAGAGTCGTGGTTCGCATGTAGCTACCCTGTAGGTTGCTGTCCGCTATGCCGATTGCTCGCGGCGTCGTGGGATGGGGGGTCTTGGGAGTTGATCAGCTCGGAGATATTTTGCATTGTTGCCGTGGCGGTATTGCTCTGGAAACGCGTAATCGGGGATGTCGTCGATATGGGTGACGGGTTGTATCGTATACCCAGCTTGATGGACATGCGCATGTTTAGCCGCTGCACAACCACGACAGGTGGTGCAGGTAGGTCGCCAGATTCGTCGTCGAGCTGGGACGTCATCATCATTGCCAGCTGGTGGCTGACGCACTGGGCGACGAGTGTCTGGCGCTAGGTCACGTGAAGTTGGTGTGTTTCTCGTAATCCGTCCAACCAGAAACCGTAGTTGAGCGATGTCTCCACGAGAGGCATGGCCTGGTCGCATTCGAGGCGGATGTTGGGGTGCTTACTCATGTCCATGTCATAGCGGTTTCCAGCATTGCTCATGTTCGCGTAGCAATATGAAATCAGGTTGTGGGTTTGAACCTTGAAGGCCACAGACTCGCGGTCATGTTGTGTGGTGCTGATGTTGTTGGTTAGGCACTCGATCAAGTCCTGACGGCGTTCGCTTTGGTCAACTCCAGGTCTCATGGCTGGTGGCAGCTGTCGGAGGACTTGCCATTTCAAATGCCGCGTCCAGGTCGTGATGGCTTTGTTTCTGGCTGCCCGTTCTTTGCGCGGTGTTGGCGTCGAATGACCAGTACTGTGTTGGGTTGTTGCAGATCCGCTGCTTGTGTGTGGCGTAACTGGCGGTGGCCTGGCCGGCAAGTCTTGATAGGGAAGCTGGTGCCCCGTCGGTTTGTTCGGAGTGTCGCCTCCGTCGCTAGTTGTGCTTTGCTGTGGGGTGGAGTAAAGTGGGCATGTGGCGAGTGGAGCCTCTGTCTGCCCGCTGGCGTTTGGTACTGGTGTTGTGGGCATTGGCATCGCTACCTTTACGTCCTATCGGGGGTACGTAGCTGGCCCATCGCTGCTGCTTGATGTCCCCTGGTGACTTGACGCAGGTGGCTCTGTCGGTTGGTCGGTCGTTTTTTCAAGTGGTGGTCGTTTGGTCGATGTGTTGTCACGTGCTGTGGCTGAACGGCATTGATCTCTGCAGTAGAGCGTAGCACTCTTTCTTGTGTGACAAGGCTGTCCGATTAATCATAAAGAATAAGCTCACCAGGCGTCCGCCAGGACTGTCGGAGCTCGCTAGTTCTTCAATCTCGTCGTTGGGTGGGAAGTTGATGTTCTCCTTGAGGTTGCCCACCTTGTCCCTGAACTCTTCGTTGCTCTGGTACCTCGTGACGATCGTCTCGAGGGCGGATGCGTCAATGTAGTAGGAGCGAGCTTGTGGCGATGGTAATCGTGGCCTCTGCGGAGCTGGCGGTGGTGATTGTGTGCGATCACGTGTCGCAATTGGTGGGAAGTTCATGATGTGCCCGTTGCAGCCGTAGAATCATTCGACGTTGTCGGCGGATCGCGCTCTCTTCCATCTTGGGCTCAGTAGCACGTTGTCTGGGTCGTCCCGTGTGGTTTCCCTGGTGTCCAAATTGCGCTCCATACGTCCTGCGTGCCTCCGTATGCGTAGTTTGGCAATCCATGGACGAGGCAAAGGTAACCGACGGTTCGGTGACCCGGGCAGTCCGTTCGGGAAGCCCGCTCGCTGAAGGGCTTGTGCTAGCGCGTGCGCGTCCCAAGTCACGTAGTCCTCCTCCTCCTCCTCCTCCTCCTCCTCCTCCTCCTCCTCCTCGAACCTCCTCCTTCTCCTTGATCCTCCTCGATCCTCGATCCTCGATCCTCGATCCTCGATCCTCCTCCTCCTTCTCCTTCTCCCTCTCCTCCTCCTCCTCCTCCTCCTACTCCTCCTCCTTCTCTTCCTCTTCGACCCTCGGTCCCGGACTCTCCATCCTACAGCCTCGGGCGGGAACCCCCAACGCGTCCCCGCACGGCGCGGTGACCGCCCCCGCGCGCGGGAGCCTCGCAGCCCCCCAGAGCGCGTCGCGCGCGCGCGCGGCCCGTCCGCGCACGGCTCCGGGGCCTCGGGGGCCGCAGGCGCCCGAGATTCGGCTACACGTAAGAGTGACCCTGGGTAAGAGTGACCTTTCGTGCGCGGCTTTGGGGGGGCCGCGGGGAGGCCAAATCCAGGCGCGCTAGCCGCTGCTGCCGCTTCGCGTTCGGCCATCTGGGGGCCCATCTGTGCCCGCACCAGAGGTCACTCCCGCGAAAGGTCACTCTTACGTCTAGTCGAGAGAGGCGCTCTCGAAGACGGCCCGGGCCCCCGGTGGCTCACCGCGCGGCGCGGTCCCCCAGCCCAGGTTCCCACTGACTCACCACGCTCGTGGATGCCATGACAAGGGACACTCTCACAATCCGATCCTCGAGTTTAAGGTGTGCTTACGATGTAGGGAACATGTGCAACGCATGTTTCAAACGTGATCTTTACATGTTGAAAACATGTGTAAAGCATGTTCAACACATGCTTTAGACATTTGCAAATGATTTGGCAACATGCTTCCTCTCCGTTGATCGTCCTCCACAACACTGATTCACCCCGCGGGGCACCGTCCGGGGCCCCCCGACAGGAGGGGGGGGGCCCTGCGGCCCCGATGCGCAACACGCAGCACACAGCGCGTCGACACGAATCTCAGCGCGTAGACTGAAAACGCAGGTCTGGCGTTGTGGACGCCACGACAGTGGACACCCGAACAGTCCTACCATCGAACTAAACATGTGTTTAACATGTCGGAAACATGTCCTGATTATGTTTACAACATGTTTTTGAACACTTTTAAACAGTTTAAACACATGTTCTAGACATCTGGAAGTTATTTGGCAACATGTTTCCTCTCCATGGATCATCCTCCACAAGTCTGGCGCGAAACGGTCGCCCACGCGTGGGTCAGCACGCGCCTGGCTGAGACGGACGTTTCGAACACAGCACGAGCTGCGTGGCAACACGGGCGCAGCAAGGCAACTGCGTGGGGGGGGGGGGGGGCAGCAGCAGGATGAGGCAGACGTTTCTACGATACCTCGAGAGGCCCCTTCCCCTCAGGGGCCTGCGGAAGAGGTCCCAGATGCTCAACCCGGGCGCAGCGAGGCAGCGGCGTGGGGGGGGGGGGCGGCCCGTCGAGAGACGGCCCAGGCTGGGAAGCGGGTCCCCTGGAAAGGGTCGAGACCTCCGGGGGCCCCCGCCGTGAGCGCAGAAGCAGGGCGTCGGAGGCCCGGGGGCGGGGCGCCGACGGCGGCGGCCGCGGGTGCTCCAGGGCCCCCCCCCCCAAGTCGGGGGCGTCCAAGAGAGGGGGGCGTCCAGGACGGGGGCCCCCAAAGCATGGCTCGACGCATGTGCGCGGGCGAGGGGGGGGCCAGGCGACGCAGTAAAGGGAAAGAGGGCGCCATGAGATCTGAGGAGAGACCATGGCCCCGGCCATGATATCCCCCCCCTCATCACCCCTCCTGGCCGGCCCCGACCCCAGGGTCCAGTCGGGCAGCCACCAGCTTGCAGCCGGAGCACATCAGGGACTTGGCGTCCTTGCCGTACGTCTGCCTGAACTCCTCCTGGGCTGGGGAGGGCACGGAGGAGGACGAGGACGAGGAGGAGGAGGAGGAGAAGAAAGAGGAGAAGAAGGAGGAGGAGGAGGAGGAGAGCCGAGGATCGAAGACCGAGAGCTTGGGAAGTCTTCAGCCGATTTCGAAGCCTCCGGAGGCCTCCAGAGGTCTTTAGGGGGCGGAGACCTCTGAGAACCCCCCGAGACCTCGGGGAGGTGCAAACGAACGAACGACCACCAATGCGGACAGCAGGCCGGGCCTACTGGAGACCAGATGAATGAGGCCGTGGCCTCTAAAATAGTATTGTGTATGGTGAGGCGTGCAAGCATCTGAAATAGTACCTCGGGGAGGTGGATGAGAAGGATGGGGAGGACGGCGACGACGACGACGACGACGACGACGACGACGACGACGACATCGGCGGCGGCGACGGCGCGGGAGGCAAAGACGAGGAGCCCGAAGACGGGGGAAAAAGTGGAAGGACCTGAACTGCGAGCGAGTTCGGAAGAGGCCCCAACTGCCCCCAGGGCAGACGCTGGGTCCGCGTTTGCGCCTGGACCGCCACAGGCTGCATTTTCCGTGCCGCTGCTTCTGATGTGCGGTCTCTCTACTTCGCATTCGAAGTCAACTCTGCAAGGCCAGTATTGTTGTCCTTCGGTCAACCCATCCTGAGCAAGCCCTGCCGAACACGGTCCTGAGCCCACCAACGCGATCAGATTCAATGCTTCTCTTCCCGCCAGCACCCAACATCTGCGTGATGACTCCTCCTCCTCTCCTTCTTCCTTCTCCTCCTTCACCTTCTCCTCTTTTACCTCCATCTCTCCTTCCTGTCTAGTCCTCCTCCTCCACCTCTCTCCTCCACTTTCTCCTCCTTACCTCCTCCTACGGATTTCACGCTTGCGGATCCTCCTCCCCCCCACATGTATCCCCATTTCTATTCAGCATCCCTCCTCCTCTTCCTCCTTCTCCTCCTCCTCCTCATACTCCTCATCCTGATCATGTTCATCATCATCATCATCAGCAGCAGCAGCATCATCATCAGCAGCATCATCATCACGAGCATCATCATCATCATCATCATCATCATCATCATCATCATCAGCATCACCACCAGCATCAGAAGCATCACCATCACCACCATCACCATCGCAACCACCATGATCATCATCATCATCATCAGCATCATCAGCATCATCATCTTCATCATCAGCATAAGCATCAGCATCATCATCATCAGCAGCATCATCATTATCATCATCCTCATCCTCATCACCAGCAGCAGTATCGTCCTCATCCTCATCCTAATCAACATCACCACCACCATGATCAGAATCAGCATCATCATCGTCATCCTCATCATTATCACCCTCATCGTCATCGTCGTCGTCATCAGCATCAGCATCAGCATCAGCATCAGCATCAGCATCAGCATCGGCATCAGCATCAGCATCAGCATCAGCATCATCATCAGCATCATCATCGTTACCATCAGCATCATCATCATCAGCAGCAGCAGCAGCAGCATCCACATCATCATCATCAGCAGCATCATCATCAGCAATCAAACTGCCCTGCCCCTCCTCATCCTCATCCTTCTGTTCCTGATGTGTCTTACCCTCCTCTTGCACTTCCCCTTGGCACTCCTCCTCTCGCCCACCCCGTACTCTTCCTGCCCCTCCACGTCCTCTTGCTCCTCCTCCTCCTCCTCCGCCTCCTTCTCCTCATTCTCCTCCTTCTCCTCCTCCTCCTCCTCCTCATCATCACCACCACCACCATCATCATCATCATCATCATCATCATCATCATCAGCATCATCATCATCAGCATCATCATCATCGTCGTCACCATCATCAGCATCATCATCATAATCAACAGTATCATCATCACCATCATCATCATCAGCAACAGCACCATCATCATGTTCATAATCATCATAATCCCACTCCTCCTCCTCCTCTATCCCTCTTCCGTTTGGATAGCGCCTGCTCGTCGCGCCATCAAAGGTGGTGGCAGTGAGGGACGGAGCGTTTCGACTGAGACTTACCTCAAGTTCATGCCCGGGGAACTCGACAAATCCAACAATCAAGCGGATTGAGGGTGGGCCGTTTTCAAAATGTGGGTCGCGCCCTACCGCTGCAAAAATGTGCCTTGACAAAGCGCATGATTTTCACGGATGGGGGACGGTTCCTTTTCAGGACGGATTCTGGCTTGGGAGCTTCACGGGCTTTTTTGTGACAGGATCAAAATGCGCCGTCCCCCTTGGGAGCGCAAGGCTGTGAAGTCTCCTGCTCGACTGCTGTCTTATGTTATGTGTGCTGCCTCATGTAGTGTTTCTTGTGCCGCCAACCCTGACATACCATCTAGTGGGGGAGCCTCCGCCGGGGGGGGGGGCCCTCAAATTCCTGGCCGCTCCAGGTTGCCCCAGGATTCGAATAGGGACGCCACCGCGCGGCCAGGGGGACTGAAGAGGCGTCGAAGATGTTCCTAGAAGACTCCGCAGAGGGCGTCCATAGCCCAGGCCGAGTATGGCCCCAAGATGCTTCAAGATGGCTCAGGAGGGCCTCAAGATACCCCCCTGAATGACAAAATCATTGAACAACAATTGTGCTCAGTGTTGCCTGCCTGTCCCACATTTTGTTGGAATACCGTTTGAAGACAGCCCCCCGAGCCCCCGAGATTGCCCAAAGCGGCCCCAATGTAACACCAGAGCGCCCCCAAACGCCGCCAGCGCTGCCTCAGGGATAGCTCGGCAAGGTCACAGGGTGACCCGAGATGCCTTCAACGGGCCCTGGAAGCCTCACGATACACCCCAAGACTGCCCGAACTGGCCCGAAAATGGCCCCCGGAACCCCAAGATGCCACCGAGAGGGCCCATGGCGACCCTGATAATAGACGCAGTGGGTGCCTCGGCGTGGAGGGCCGGCGGCAAACGGCACGACCCTTCAGATTGGTACATCAACCGCGAAGCACGTCCGAGAAACGTGTGTGTGTGTGTTCTGGTGATGCCATACATACGAAGTATGCGTTGTCCCCCACATGGCCGTATACTTTCTTATTCATATTCGTAGTCTTCATATAATGATTAACTTCTTCTTCTTCTTCAAGTCAGTACTCGTATGATTATTGGCATTCGCATTCTTACTCTTACTCCTAATATTATTAATGCTCGTAGTGTTATGAGTCTTATTCTTAGTATTATTATCATTGTTGCTTGTATAATCCTTACTGCCTTCTTTATTACTAGTCATAATGTTCTTACGTTCTGTGTAAAAGTATTATTACTACTTTTCTTTTACGTATTATCATTCTTATTCTCCTTTCGCCCCTCTCTCGTGCGATTCCTCTGGTTCCTCCAGGCGCTGAGCCCTTGGGGGCTCGTGCCACTGTCGCTGAGCCCTTCACGGCTCGTGCCAGGGAAGCTTCGAGCGCAGAGCCCTTCGGGGCTCGCGCTTCTGGCTCTGTCGGCGCTGAAACCTTCGGGGATCGTACCACTGGCGCTGAAGCGTTCGGGGCTCGTGCCAGGAAGCTTCGAGCGCAGAACCCTTCGGGGCTCGCGCTCCTAAATTCCGTCGGCTTCTGAAACCCTTTGGGACTCGTGCCGCGGAGCCTCTTCATTCGCAATCGAACGGTTGTGACATTTCCTGCATCATGTTTTGCTAGTGTTAAGTCGGGCCTGTCCCTCTGCAGGGGGAATATTCAAAAATAGTCAAAGAATAATATGAGGGCATTTCTGGTATTTTTTTGACAATTTTTAAATATTTGTTGAGTATCTTTTATTTTTCGTCGAAAATCCCCCTGGTAGGAGGACACCGCCGACTTAATGCTAGTGAAACAAGAAGCTGTGCATTTTTGTTCTCGAGTCTTGCGGCGTTCGGATCCCAGGGCCCTCCTCAGGGTCTCTTCGGGCCTCCAGAGGCCGAGGTGCGGTGGAGTCGAGGCTTCTGGGCGGCTCCTCTGGGACGTGCTTCGGCACGCCTCCACTGGAAACCGCCACCAGTACAGCTCGTGGAGTTCAGATCTGCCCAACCACAAGAACGATGACTGAACCGCCGATCATTCGAGTTCTGACTGATCTTTAAAAAGACCTGTCGCTTGGCAGCTGGCCGGCGCGCTCGGCTCTAGGGCCGCACTGCCGCATCCACTGGAGGTAGGAGGAATGAGGGGGAGGAGGCGGATGAGGGAGGAGACTCCCTGTCCGATCAAATTCTTGAGTTCGTGACGGGGGAAACTGTGTTATTTTCTTGATGCCCGTGTCGGCTCAGGGAAGATGACGCGTGGGAGGGGGAGGAGGAGCAAAAGGAGACGAACACAAACAGAAAAAACGAAATGCCACATCAGCACGGTTTGTTCTCATATACGTAAGCTTATGCACTCTGCCACGTTACTGTTGCAAGTGACTCATTGTCCGGCGCGCCATTTTGTATCGCACTATGCTGAGGGTCGCTTGGCGCCGACATTTCGTTTGAGTTGCCACGCGTATATAGGAATGCCAACATGTCCAGAAAACAATGTGGGGAACGGAGATATTCCATAATGCTTCAGAGCTGACACATGCAAATGTGAGACAGATTGAAAGCCCGCAGGCGCCGATGCTGCACCGATATGTCGCCTGAGCTATGATGCTCATATGGGGAAGCTTGCAAATCCAGAACGTCATATGGGAACCGCAAGTTTCGCATACTGCTCAAAACTCTACCAACACCGTCGAAGATGATGAGCCTTTAGATCTAGAAAATCCAAGGGCGCCGTGGCTGTGCATATATTTCGACGGGGCTCGTTTGCTTCGATGGGAAAACCAGCGAATCCAAAAAGCCATCAGGGCAACACATATTCTGCATAATGCTCTCATTTCTCATCGAAACCACTGCAAACGCATATTTTATACCTCAGCGTGCCAGAGTGCACGGTGGCGGATAACAATTACCCCATCCGTCGGAGTAGATCCCTGCTTTTGCAGCGTTTCTTCCTTCTGTGCCGAAGCTGCCACCTCCGCAGCCCACTCTGGCCCAGTGCGCGTCAGCTCAATTGCTATCCTGGGTCACCGTTCTGGCCCCGTCGGCGATGGGGCAGAGCGCGATCAAGCGCCCCGCCGCCGCCGCCGCGCCGAGGACACGGCCAGTGGGAGAGTTCAGGCCTCTTCCTTTGCGCAAGAAGGGCGGGCAAGGACAGGATGGGCCCGCGCCGGAAGGCGGCGACGAAGGCTGAATACGCCCGCCACGGCAAGGAAACCGACAAGTCGCGCAAGCGGCGCGCCACGCGGTCCCGCAACTACGACAGCTTCCACCAGAAAACTCCGGACCACGTGGTGGACATGCTTATCGTGATGTCGGGCCTGTCCCCCTACAGGGGAATTTTGGGCGGAAGAAAGATAATCCAAAAATGCTAAAACAAAAAAATGCCCCAAAAATCGTCCCCAGATTATGTTTGGACTATTTTTGAATATTCCTCCTGTAGAGGGACAGGCCCGACTTCAGCTCATCGAGGACGGCGTTGTGCTCGACTGGGAAAGCCGCGCCTCCCCGCCCTGCGGCGTCGGAGCGACGCGCGCGCGGGTGCAGTGTGACAGCCGTGGCCCGCGCTGGAGGTGCAGCACAGGCGGGCTGCGCGGAAAGATGGCGTTCGATGCCCCCGCATGTTAGTTAGGAGGCAACTACTGGGAGGCTTTCGTCGGAAAGATTAAAGAGGATGAAACCCCATTTGGGAGCTGTTACGCCGGAGTGGGCCTCGGATTTAGCGGGATTAAGCCGGATTAAGCGGTATTAAACGGGATTTAGCGGGATTAAAGCGGATTAAGCTGGACTAAACCGGATTTCGGATCAGGACAAAATCAGAATTTGAGCTCCCAGGAGTTGCATCCGAACGCATGGCCGCCATCGGCCCTGGAGACGGCTCAAGAAGGCCCGCAGACGGCCCAGGAGGCACGAGGACCTCCGTGCTGGGAGGCTCCCAGGATCGCCCCAGGACGGCCCCCGCCCGAAACGCCTCCAACAGCGCCGCAAGATGGCCCCAGCACGGCCCAAAAGGCCTCCCAAACGGCCCAGGAGGCACCTGAGAGACGGCCCCTAAGAAAGAGGAACCACTTTGGGGAACTTGAGCTGGATTTGGGAGCCCCGAGATGGCATCCTGGTTCCCCAACGTGCCCCAAGACGCCGGCAAAAACAACAAGCCAATCACACTACTTCCGAAACAACCCAAAAGACCCCCACGGCCCAAGAGGCCTTCACGAAGACCCAGACCAGTCTCCAAGAAGTCCCCAGTACGCCTTTTTCCATTGAAACAAAAAGAAAAGGCGGAGGAGAGGGAGAGGATCAAAGTGAGCGAAGAGGAAGAAAGAGGATAACTCGGCTGCGGACAAGATGTGCGACTTCAGTCCATCACGCCAAACACTCTTCTCCTACGTCGCGCGCCGGGCAGCTACTGACAACACTTTCGCTGACTCGGGCCGTGGCCTCTCAGGGCGCCTTTTAGAAACTTCTGTGTTGTCGCTTTTCACGCGCATGTGCGCTCCACTTTGCGCGAGGCTCGCCATAACTGTCCAAATGAAACCGCGCTGTGAAAATGACACTGGCTTGATGATGTCCAATTCGTGCGTAGAGGGCTGGCGTCCATAGGATGTGAGCCGTCGTGCTTGCCAGGAAGCGTTCTAACACAACAGCGCCCGTCATGGGCTCCGCCCCTCTGCAAATGCGGGCGTGTTGCTGCGAAGCGCGGTATATAGAAACAACCGAGAGCATTTCGCAACAACAGCATGGGTAGAGGGCGATTCCTTGCCGACATCGGGCTGCATGTTTTGTCTTACATCTGGGCCGTTCTGATGTTCTCTTTATTGTCTATATAAAAAAACTCAGCTGCCCCCCAATACGCAACACGCAACACGTAGCGTATTCACACGGAGCGCAACGCGTATGCTGAAATCGCAGGTCTGGCGCGACACGATGCCAAAACGTGGACCAGCACGTGCCGAGCCAAAACGCAGCGTGTCAGCACGTGCGTTTTGACCACGGCACGCGTTGCGTTCCGACACGGGCGTACCAGGGCAGCTCAGAACAAGGACAGAGGGCGGCTCCATCGCAAAAAGGGCCCTCGCCTCAGTGGTAGGCCCACCGGCCGCTTCTATCTCCAGGGGGCGCCCCCCGTGGCGAGAGGGAGTGCCTGCAGGGATTCGCGAGGAGGCACGGGTGTGCTGCAACATAGCTGATGCAGGCTGGGCTTGCTCTGGTCCTCCTCCTCATCCTGTGAATCCTTTCTCCTCCTTCTCCTCCTCCATCCTCCTCTGTTTCTCCGTCGTCCATACCTCGTCGTCCTCCGCCTTGTTCTCCTCGTCTTCACCCTCCGCGTCATACTGCTTCTCATGTGCTTCTCACAGCGGAAGCAACAGGAAGTACGCCATGTCCCCAAACACACGGGCGCCGAGGACAAGAATGAAGAGCGGCAGCTGACGTTCCAAAGAAAACGGCGGCGAGACAAAAAAAAGCTCAGATCCGCCAGTTCAAACTCCCAACGAAAGATTTGACGGCGAACCTTCTTTGAATCAGCCTCGATGTCTGATGTCTGCGGTTCGGGATCCGGCGCCGCGCGTGCGTTCCAGGGCGCCCCTGCCCAGCGCTCGAGAGCGCTCCCAAGGGCGGGCGCAGGCGCTCCCAAGCGCCCCCTGGCGTTCCCAAGCGTTCCAATGCGCCCGCGGGCGCTCCCCCCCAGCTCTCGCTAAGCGCTCGCAAGCGCGCAGGCGCTCCCAAGCGCTCGCAGGCGCTTTCGGGCGCCCGCGAACGTGCGCGGGCGCTCCCGGGCGCCGCAGCTTGCAAACTCACGTGAAAAACAAGCGTGGAGAACAGCCATCAACGGGCTCGCCTGCCAATATCAATTCAACATGATGGCGGCGGGGGGGAGTGGGGAACACATTCAGTACTGAAGTGGGCACCGAAGAACCTGGGGTGAGTTGTACCTCCTGCTGCTCCTGCTCCTCCGCCTCTTCTGCCTCCTCCTGCTTCTTCTCCGCCTCCTGCGCGCTCCTTGACATCGGCAATGCTGAAGTCCAGCTTCTTTGCAGTCTCCTCGTGCAGCGGTCGCCGCTGGCCCCGCCCCTCGGTCCCCTGACCACACCCCGAGGAGGAAGAATATCGTTCTCTCTCTCTCTCTCTGCTCTCCCTCTCTCTCTCTCTCTCTATATATATATATATTTCTCTTCCTCTCTCTCTCTCTCTATCTGTCTGTCTCTCTCTCTCTCTCTATCTCCCTCTCTCTGTCTTTATCTCTTCCTCTCTCTCTCTCTTGTTATGTCTATCTCTCTCTCGCTCTTTATGTCTCTGGTTATCGCTGTTTCCTTTATCTAATACTATCTCTCTCTCTCTTCTCTCTTGTCTCTCTCTCTCTCTCGCTCTTCTCTTGTTTTGTCTCTCTCTCTCTCTCGACCTTTCTGTCTCATTGCCTGTCTTTATCTTTGTTTGTTGTTCTCCCTCTCTCTCTCTCTCTTTCTCGCTTTCTCTCTACCTCTCTCCCTCCATGTCTCTGTACATGTGTACATATGTCATTGTTGTTTGTTTTCTGTCTGTCTTTCTCTCTCTCTCTCTCTCTCTATCTATATCTCTATCTCTGCTTCCCTCCCTCCCTCCCTCCCTCCCCCCCTCCCTCCCAGCTCTCTCACTCCCTCTCCTTCTGTACATGTTTATGATATCATATTGATGCTTCCCACGGGCTGCCACGTGGCGGTCGAGACTGGGCTGCGGAAAAAAAGAGGAAAGGGCGCACAGGGTGCTGCGCTGGCGCGGCGGCGGAACCTGGCACCAACCGCGTGCGCTGTGGTGGCCGTGGTGGTGACGGTGGCAATCGTAGAGGCAGTCGAAGTCAGCAGCAGTGGTGGTCTCAGGAATGAGACAGGCCTCGGAAAAAATGAGCGAACAATCATGCCACATTCATCTGCGAACGCCTCCCCCTCCCCCCAATGTTCAAAGTTGGCGGTGGGTCTGATGAGTTGCACCTCGACCGCAGTCTCCCCCCCGCGTGCCAACTTTGAGTTTGGGGGGCAGGGGGGGTGTTCACTAATTGTTTCCCTCTACCGTAGCAATTACAGTGGGAGCAGCAGCAGCACGATCGGTCGTAGCCGTCGTTGTCATCGCAGCGGTGGTGGTCGTAATCGTATTCGGGCTCGACGCTCCCTGTGCGCAGGGCATAAAAGTGGCATGTAGGGTGTAAAAGGTTCGGGTTCAAGGAATACACATGGGATGCAAATTCCATCTGGAGCCCACATGCCATACACATGCAAAGCACATGCCATGCATACGCCATACACGTGTGATACTCAAATCAAAAGCCATACAATTACAGAACACGTAGAATACACACATCAAACACAACAACACACGTACACTACCCATGCAACACAAAGACATCGTTTTTCCATCGCATGCATATGACGTTCAGAACTGCCTCGTTCTTCATATAACCGTCGTAGTCCGTGATACGACACCACTGCAACCCCGCCGACCCCTTGTGGGTGTTCGGACGTGTTTAAACAAAAATACCCCCGCACAATCTCCCCCCAGGGACCCCAAACCGGCAGTTTGACCCCCCCCCCACCAGCACGAACACATCATGGAGGGATAGAGTTGTGGATGCCACGACAATGGACACCCTAACAGTCCTATGAAAACATGTGTTTACAATGTCGGAAACATCTCCTGAAGATGTTTTAAGTATGTGTTGTACATGCTCAAAACATGTTTGCCACATGTGTTAGACATCTGGAGATTCTTTGGCAGCATGTTTCCTCTCCACTGATCTGACTACCTTCCAGACCACCCCAACCCAACCCGAAGACCCCAATTTCGGGTTGGGGGGGGTACGGGTTCCATATGTGTTTTTTCAACGTTCCCCGACCCCCCCCACTGGAAATGGAGGGCAAATTGAGGCCTTCGGGTTGGGTTGGGGTGGTTTGGTAGGTGGTGATGATCGTCCTCCACAAGGGACAGAGGGCGGACGGACGACCCGAGGCGGCCCCACGAGCCACGACGGACCCCATGAAGGCCCCGCACCGACGGAGCACCGCTCCCAGACGCCCCGGGCAGGCTCCCCTATAGAGAGCGCGGCCGCCGCGGCGAGCACCCCGCGCGGCGAGCACTCCGCGGCCGCCGCGCGTGGCCGAGGGCGTCGTGCGCAGCGCGGGCCCCGCCTGCCTCCGGCGGGCCCTCCAGATGAGCCGCGCTTTGTGGGACGCACAGAGACATACTGATACCACATGCCCTCCTCGGAGGCGCGCGTCCGACCCGAGCATGCAGTACACAGTACACCCATCTTGTAGTATCCCGAGCGGTGTGGCCAGAAAGCGTTCGCCACGACGCACGTACTATAAGATTCCTCGGTGTGCGCGTCGCCCCTGGGGGGGGCGACGCACATATAGTATGAATATGTTTTTTGGGGGCGCCGATTTGGGTTGATTCTCCCATGTGCGATTGTGTCGGACAGGCACCCTCAACGCGGCGACAAACTGGGGCGGAAATTTTCCCGCCTCGGAGACGGAGGGCGGACGTCTCCGCAAAAGTGTGGCGGACACAGCGACGGCAGAGCGGGGCGGACATCGGCATCAAAGGAGCTTGCAACTTGAGGCGGAGCTTTTCGACCTACTTGCGAAATCGCCCAAGTACGGCGGATCCGGAGTCGGGAGATTTCGAAAAGAGAATCCAGCCGTGGCGTCGCCGCAAGTGGGATTCCGTGGCCCAGCTTCTTGTTGCTCGTGGTTTGTTGTTGTCGTCGTCGCCCTCGCCCGCGACCGGCCCGGCGACCCACCCACCCCGCCCGCCCCCTCACTTTGTTTTATGCGTTGTTTCTCCCCGGTCCTTTTCCGTCCGCTCCTCTTCAGAGGAAGCCAGGACGAGGATCAATTCGGATGACGATAGATCGAAGATCTCCGAGATCTGGCGGTTCTAGAGGATGTGTCGGGCGCGGCCTCTCAGAGCGTCCCGGATAGCTTTGAGAGCGTTCCCGAGCGCACTGGAACGGATTTATCCTCGTCCCGGCCCCGTCGGGCCTCTGCTCCCGACCTCCTGCTCCGCCGGAGGCTCCTCCTTCACGCGCTGCGCGAAGTCCATGTGGAGCTCCGCCTCCTCCTCTTCCTTCTTCGACCTCTCGGCCTGCAAGGGCAGGCTTGGGCGCCCGAGCTATCCGGCATAACTCTGGTTGGGGGCTGCTCTGTTCTGGGCCCTCGACGCACGAACCAGGAGTTACCCTTGACCGCCCCCAACAGCCCGATGATTTGGGACTGGTCGGACGTCCGGAGTACGTATCTGGGATAACTACTGTCCGGGGTAGCTCCGGTCTGGGCCCTCGGGGCACGAACCAGTAGCTACTCCTGACCGCCCGCAACACCCCGATGATTTAGGAGTGGCTGGACGCCCGAGTTATCCAGGATAACTCCGGTCCGAGGAAGCTCTGGCTTGGGCCTCCGAGGCACGAACCAGCAGCTACCCCTGAGCGCCCCCAGCCCCGACGACCCAGGGCTGTGAATCGGCGGCGAACCAGGGGGGGAAGTGAAAAGGGGCGGGCCTTCTCAGAAAGCTCGGAAATCCCCCAGCCTCCTGAGAAGTTTGATAAGCGCTCCCCGAAGGCAGAGACGACTTCTCAGAAGAGAAGGCGCGAAGGCTTCTGAGAAGTCCCGCCGCCTTGTGAGAAGGCCTTCTCCTGCTCACTTACGAGAGTGCCCGAAACGCGCCCTGGGCGAACGCCGCTCATGGGGGGAGGAGGAGGAAGAGGAGAAAGAGCAGAAGGAGGAGGAGAAGGAGGAAGAATCCTCGGTAGTTCTCAACTCTTATCGGGATGAGGCGCTGGCTCGACTGGTGTCAAGTCATTGGCTGCTGGCTAATTCTTTCGGCTTCGCAAAATGGGGCCGACGGGACCCTCTGGCTGATAAGGCCTCTCGGGCCCGTTCCAGCCCTGGGCCGCATACCCTGGAATATTCACAGAAAGGAAAAACAAACGGGCACGGGAGCTTATCACTCTGGGGTTGATCACCCCTTCTATCGGGCGACGAACTACATACTGAAAACTAAAGTTGCACCGCTGTTGCTGCATCTACGATCAGACGCTGAGACCTCCCCCCAACCAGCCCCAAACAAACTCCCCCCCTCCCCAACCCCTCTTCTCCTGAGATGCATCTGTCTGGCGCCCAAGCAACTGGGCGTCTCGGACGCTGCCTATCTCTGTTTGGCGGCGCAGCCCTGCTAGGTCTACTCTGCACTCTGCCTGGCGCGTACGTGCTTCTGCAACTGGCGCCCCAGCGCGCTCGGCGGGAACGCTCCCACGATGGGCGCACCGCCTGTAGGTAGCTTTCATGGCTTTGTAGATCATGTTGCGGATCTCCGCCACCCCGAGCTGCGGCAGCTTCACTGGAACTGACGCAGAAACTGCCCCGCCAGGCGTTCACCTTCTTGAGCTCCTGCTCGATGGCACTGTTGAGCGGGGTGGGCGCCAGCGGGTTCACCATGATGTGGACCTTCCACCATCACGAAGTCCGCTGTCACGTGGGCGCGCGGACAACCGAGGTCCTTCTCCCCCGCCTGGCTCCGCTCCGCGCACTTGCTGCCTGCGTTGGCTCCTGCTTCGACCGCCGCGTGCTCGTCGCCACCCACCAAGAAGAAATCCCACAGGCTGCCTGAGACCGCTCTGAATATCTGCGCGCTGTTGAAGGACAGTTTCTCCACGACGAGTGCTTCCTTTCCGCTCACCTCGAAGCCAACTGACTGGCCAGCAGCCTTCTTCTGGTGGCCACGTGCTTGCTTGGGTGCCGCGCGTCCGCCTGCCGTCAGCAGGCCTGCTTCCCCCGTCTTCTCGGGCGCCGCACTCCTCCGTCCTCTGCCGTCACTCGCCAAGACATCCGGGCCCTCGACGTGCGTGCACACGCGATCGTGGTGCTCGTGGAATTCGGTATGCTCGCTTCCGAAGTCGCCGCAAGTATGCGAAACATATCCTTCGGGCCGAAATGCCCACGGCGTAGCTCTAGCGGTGCATGTTCGAAGCGTCCTTTGTCCATCGTGGTGCAGCGCGTCAGGCGTGACGCACGTAGCGCGAAAGCAGTACGGCACCATGGGCACACGGGCGTGATGACGGGCATGGAGTGCATGTCTCATACGATGTGCGTGTGTAACGCATGCTGTGAGTGCCCGTGCCGTCTGAAATGCGCTCACGCACGGTGCGTCATCGTCCATACGGTGGGTGCAGATCCATTCGTCGATGATTGCGCTGTGCTCGCTGTCTGTGTCCCTGTGCACGTGCTGATCTATGAACGTGTCGTCGCCAAACGCCTCCTCCTCTGATAAGCCCGCCAATGCCCGTGCACGTGCGTACCTGCGCATATCGTGTTCGGTGGGCTCTTTGCGAGATGCGGCTGCCGTCGTTTTGACACGTGCTGGTGCCATATCTGTCTAAGTAAATGCCTGCAAAGCAATCACTCGATCCCGTCAAACGCGCCCGAGTTCACCGTCAACGTGCGCAAGCGCCTGCAAGTCCACCAAGCACTGCCCCACCAACGGGGTACTGCGACGGTTCAAATGGCCGCCTGGGTCGAGGCGAGTACGTCCGAGCGGTCTGTCGAATTCGGTCGTGCAAAAAAAAACATGAGCAGCTGCTAGTTCTTCTCTGGCCGCCTGGCCACCTCCTGCCACCTCCTTAGCCGTTGTCTTCTCAGCTCGGTGGATGTGTCACTGATGCCCCAATGTTCAAATACTTGCTTGTTGCTCATGGCGCGGGTGCGCTGACAGTAATGCTGATTTGCTTTTGCCGCGCATGAGACCTCTCGGCAACCTCACCCAGGCCGTGCCGAATGTCTGCATAAATTCTGCCTTGAGCACGAGCGTTAAGTCGGGCCTGTCCCCCCACAGGGAAAGTTCGACGAAGAATCAAAAACATACCCCAACAATAATCAAACAATAATGAATAGTCTGGGGACTATGTTTTGAATATTGTTTGACCTTTTGGGGGTATTATTGTTTGGGTGTTTTTCATTTGTCGCCCAAAGTCCCTCTGTAGGAGGGCACGCCCGACCTAACAAGAGCGCGGTCAGCCCCACCAGTGTCGCGTTGTACACAAAGCGAAGAAATCAAGTGTGCAGGTACCTGCGAGTGAAGGCTGGTGCCACGCTTCGCTTACAGACCGCCAAGCTGTTCGAGCCCCTCGCATGATGCTGTGGTTCAGCTCGGTCCCTAACTTCCCGTCGAAGCTCTGCGCGGGCCCCAATACCCTGCTTTCCTGGCAAAGATCGCCGTGGAGAAGACCGTCCCTGGAGAGCCATTGGCGGTCTCGAAAGATCCCCGCCTGACTGTGCTTATCAAGTGGTTCGTCTTGTCGGCGTCTGGATGATAACTAGCCAGCCGCTCTGCGGTTGATCGGGAGTTTCTGCATGTAGAAGAAAGGGCGTGCGCTTCTGGGTGAGAGGAAAATGATCGCGATGAGCATGAGCGTGAGGATCAGGAGGGCGAGGCTCGCGAGGGGGAGGATCAGGAGAGCGGAGGCCACGCGGGCGAGGATCAGGCGAGCGCGGAGCAGGAGGGTGAGGATGTGGAGGAGGAGGGCCAGGAGAGCGAGGATGGCGAGAATGAAAATCAGGAGGGTGAGGATCGGGCGGGCGTGGCCGTCCCCCCCGCCCTTGCCCCGACTTCCCCCCCCCTTCCGCATCCCTGCGCGGCCGGCGGCGAGGCAGGCGAGGAGGACGAGGACAAGGAGCAGCGGCAGCAGCGATACGGGCAGCAGCAGCAGCAGCATCAGCAGCAGCAGCATCAGCAGCAGGAGAGGCAGCACAGAGAGAGCGGCCAGAACGGCGGCGAGCAGAGGCGGGAAGAGAAGCAGGAGGAGCAGGAGAAGGAAAGAGCAGCAGGGGGGGCAGAGGCGGAAGGAGGAAGAGCGGAAAGGGGAGGACAAGCCGGAAGGGGCAAGGGGGGGACAGGGACCCCAGACATCCGACGTCCTCGTGCTCACGTCCTTCATCCGGCGTCCCCAGAGCCCTCCTCGCCCTTACCCGAGGCCGCTTGTTATCCCTGGACAGGTTTCCGGCTGCCTTGGGAGTCCGAAATGGCTCTCGAGAGGCCGACAAAGGCACGACCGTCAAGGCCCAGGACAGAGGGACAGGGAAAGAGAGAGAGAGAGAGGAGATGAGCAGCATAAGTACAGCCTTGCCCTTCTTGGACTTGGGTGATTCGTCCTCCTCGAGCTCCAACATGTCCCGGAGGCGCTCCTGTGCACGCGGCCACTTCTGCCCGGCCGCGATCCCCTCTCCCACTGCAGCTGCTGTTGCCTTTTCATGCTCCTTCTCTTCCTTATTCACATCATCGTACAGTCGACCCACATCATAAGGACGCACGATAAGGATGCAAGGGCTTGGAAGGCCGTTTCGTAGCTTTCGAGCGGGGCGCAGCCGACGAAAGTGGCGCAGGATGGACCGATGAGGCAAGGATGCAAGGGTACCCTTGGGAACATTGCGCCACCTTACTGTGCGGGTCGACTGCACTGTTACTCCTCATCTTCCTCCTTCTCCTTCTCCTGCTCCACATCTGCTTCCTTGTCACGTCAAACCGAAGACGGGAACAGCGAGGGAGGGCCGCGGGGGTGACGCCACCAGGGGCCCCCGTGGCAGTGCCCGTCGAAGGCGCCAGGCAGCCCAGATCTGTGCCCTCGGCACGTCGAGCATCACGGCGTACACTGATCAGTGTCGGCTGCCACACCGGCAAGCGCGGGCGACACTAGGCTTATGTCGGGCGTGTCCCCCATACAGGGGGATTTTCGACGAAAAATAAAAAATACCACCCAAAATACCCCAAGAAGGTGAACAAACACTCAAAAAATAGTCCCCAGACTATTGTTCGTCGAAAATCCCCCTGTAGGGGGACAGGCAAGACTTAACACTAGGCAAGAGTGCCCTTTGGAGCGCGGCTTGCCGATCCCTGCACGCGACGCGACATCAGCGGCCTGCGTGACTTGGTTTGCCCCCCCCCCCCCCTCTACAGTCGGGGCGTTGACCTAAGGAACCCTAAATAAGGAACGAGGCCCCTCCTTTCCCATAAGTTAAACTTCGATTCCCCATCGAAAACCTCGGGAAAACCTGAGGCAAGCTGTGAAACGATCGAGGAACACGGAGCCCCTCCCCAACGAAAAGCGTTCCTTCTTCAGGGCCCCGACTGTACAAAGCCCCCCGAGATGGTGGGAGCTAAAGCGAGGACGATGACCATGACTGAACTTGGAAACGTCGGTGTCGATCCTGGCCATCGTCCACATAGGTCATCGTGCGTTCATGGACCCTCCTCACGAATCGGTGATGGCTGGCCTGGACTATGCCTGTGGAAACCAGAATAAACCGATGCCGCTGCTCCGCGGACGTTCTGACCAGGATTTCCACCAGAGACTGGCCGAATATTGGTCCAGGGTGCGTTCTGAGAGAATACTGGCGGGGGGTGCGCTCTGACCAGGATTTCCAGGCGAATCCAGCGGTGGCGACGAGGGCCCCCCAGGAGGCCCAAAATGGGAAATCGAAGGGAAGGGTAGCGGTATGGGTACCTGTTCCTCCTCCGAAAGATCGGCGTCGACAAGATCCCGCGACATCTCGGTTATGGTCACCGTACTTCTCCCCCCGACGAGAGCCGCGCTCCGGAGGCCGCTCCGGCGGAGAGCCACCCCATACGTGCCATCGAACTGCCCACCATGGCTATGCAGCCGCATGTGAGCCCCACGTACCACTGGGGGGGGGGTGCCAGAGATGCTCCTGGCTCGTTCCATGTGGGCGCCCCAGAGGCCCTCTGGGACTCGCGAGGGGCGCTCTGGAGGCCGTGGCGACCTCCTTGGAACTCCTGGGGGCACCTTGGGCCGGGGGCACTTCTAGCAGCACTCGAACATGCCGCAGGCCAGATTTCTGCAACGCCGACCGAGGCTCAGAATTTGGTCGATGCAAGTCCGTCTGACTGATCACCACCCTGGCACTCCTGAGCCTCGCGTACACGTCGTTCATTTTTCATCGTGCTCAATATACTATCAGAATGGAACACTTGGAAATAAAAGGATCTTGGCCCCCAACAAAATCAAAGAACTTTAGAATACTTAGAAATGAACCATGTGTACCTCGTCGACGAGGCATGCGAGGAAAGGAGGACAATGCAGGTGTGGGCGGGCACGGAGGCGGCAATCCTTCAGATCGTCTCGGCTCGCGGAGTCGCCCAGGGCCTGGGCGCAGGCGGGACCGGTCGGGGCAAGAGCGTGCCGTGCGCGAGACCGTCCTCCCTCTCCCGGGCGCCCGCTAGCATTAAGTCGGGTCTGTCCCCCTACAAGGGGATTTTGGACGAAAAATTAAAAATACCCCAAATGGTCAAAAATAATCAAAAAATCGTCCCCATACTATTTTTTACTATTTTTGAATATCCCCCCGGTAGAGGGACAGGTCCGACGTAACGCTAACAGGCATCGGGAAAGGTGCCCCCGACACACGAGGCCACGGATGCCGCCTCACGGGGGCGACAGCGCGTGCTGAGGTCTGCATGGAAGCGGGGCTCGTCGCCAGGCCACTCGCCGTGGTCCATGTTGGCATCCCTCGACTCGCCAGGACAGAAGAGAGGTAGGAGGACAAGGAGGACAAGGATGCTGGAAAGAAGAGAGGTAGGAAGAAGAGCCTCGACAGAAGAGAGGTAGGAGGACAAGGATGCTGGAAAGAAGAGAGGTAGGAAACAACTTGCCACTGCTGGAAAGAAGAGAGGTAGGAGGACAAGGATGCTGGAAAGAAGAGAGGTAGGAAACAACTTGCCACTGCTGGAAAGAAGAGAGGTAGGAGGACAGGGATGGGGAGATCGGACAACTTGCCACTGCTGGAAAGAAGAGAGGTAGGAGGACAGGGATGGGGAGATCGTTGGAGTGGGCCTGGCTGACGGGCGGGCGCTCGGGCCGAAGCTCGCCGTAGACGTCCCACTCGACGCCGCTCGAAGCTCGTCGTCCCAGGCTGTGAGCCCCGCTCCCGCTCCCACCTCTCCTTCCATTCCTTATCCTCTCCCTTTCATCTCCCCCTCCCGTCTATCTGCCCCCTTCCTTTTCTCCCGCTCCTCCCCATCCCCCTGCTGGCCCTCCTCCTACTCCTCCTCCTCCTCCTCCTCCTCCTCCTCCTCCTCCGCTGCTCCTCCTCTGCTCCCCATCCTTCTCTGCCGTGTTCCTCCTCTCCCCCTGCTCCTCCTCCCCTTCCCCTCCTCCTGTCCTTCCTCCTCCTCCTCCTCCTCCTCCTCCTCCTCCTCCTCCTCCTCCTCCTCCCTCCTCTCCTCATCCTCCTCCATCATCATCATCAATCATCATCATCATCATCATCATCATCACATCATCATCATCATCATCATCATCATCATCATATCATCATCATCATCATCATCCCCTCCCCCAAGTCCTCCTCCACCTCCTCCTCCTTTCTAGACGCTAGGCAAACCTCAGAAGCACTGCCTGTAGCGTTATCCCCCTCCTCCTCCTCCTCCGCCTCCTCCTCCTCCTCCTGCCGTGCCGCCAAAGAACCTCAGCGAGGACCGGAGACCGAGGATGCGCGCCGGAGCCTGGGCGGCCCGAGAGGGGCACAAAAAAGGTGCGGCAGGTGGACAGAGAGACAGATATATAGACAGACAGACAGGCAGGCAGGCAGGCAGGCAGGCAGGCAGGCAGGCAGGCAGGCAGACAGACAGGCAGGCAGGCAGGCAGGCAGGCAGACAGACAGACAGGCAGGCAGAGAGGCACGCACTCCAGCCCCGAAGGGCGGTCCTCTCAGAGGGCAGGCGCATGGGACACGCAATCCCTCACGCTGGGAAAACTGTGGAAAACCCAGCACTGACGCACTAGCGGCGGGGGGAGGAACAGAAAAGGAACGAAACCGACATCACCGGGCCGGACCACCACTAGCGCAGAGAGACGACGGTGGCTCTGCGTCTGAAGGCACCGAGGGCCGAGGGATGGCGAGGGCAACATAGTTCGATTTGCGTGAGATCTCACTGGAGGAGGAGGAGGAAGAGGAGGAGGAGGAAGAGGAGGAGGAGGAGGAGGAGGGGGAGGAGAAGGGAGGAGGAGAGGAGAGGAGGAAAGGAGGAAGAGAGAGGAGGAGGAGGAGGAGGAGGAGGAGGGAGGAGGAGGAGGAGGAGGAGGAGGAGGAGGAGGGTGGGAGGAGGAGGAGGAGGATTCAGGCGGAGGAAGGAGGAGAGGGAAGGAGGAGGAGGAGGAGGAGGAAAAGGAAGAAGAGGAGAAGGAGGAGGGAGGAGGAGGAAGAGGAGGAGGAGGAGGAGGAGGAAGAGTAGGCGGAGGAGGCGGAGGAGGCGGAGGTGGAGGGGTGGCGTAAGACTACCCCGCTGACCCGACAAGGGACGGCGACGCACGCGAGTCTGGAAGCACCAGGGAGGGCGAGGGCAACAGCTTGGCCTGCGCAAGACACCACCTTGCCAGACCCCCTGGGGACGCAGGGAAACGACGGCGGGCGGGCGCCTGGCAGGGCCCCTGAGGAGCGCAGAGAAGTGGCAACATTTGCACACCTGGCACCGCTCGGGGAAGCGATAGAGAACAGAAAGCGAGAGATACGAGAAAACGAGAGAGAGAGAGAGAGAAGAGGAAACGACGAGGGGACGAGGGAGAACAGAAAGCGAGAGAGGAGAGAAGGCGAGCGGGAAGAGGGAACGACGAAGGACACCGGAGACGCGGAGAGGGGGGGAGCGGAAGGCGGAGGCGGGACAGGAGCTGTGACGCGAGAGGAGCAGCAGTGCTCCGTCCAAGGAGCGACGACGCGGTACAGGAGGGCTGTGACTGGGGGTGGAGGTAGCGAGGCCGACGGGCACGGCAGCCACATCGACGACCAAGATGGGCCATGCCTCCAGCTTCTCGAGGGCGTTGTTGATGGCAGCCTTCACCTGGCATTCGAGTCCACGGGCGAAGAGGGAGGCTCGCAGCTTGCGCGAGGAAGGAGTACTCCCACCAGCCCTTTGGGGCCGAGATGGTCTGAGGCGTATCCTCTTCCACCACCACCCCACTTCTCTTCTGGGGGGTGGGGTACCCCTCCACCTCCCCCCTCCGCTGGGCCTGGACATAAGCGGGGTGAGGGGGTCGTGCGTCCAAGATGGCTCCAAGATGGCCTCCATGAAGGCACAAACGACCGCCCTGCATGGCTCAAGAAAGCTACTGCCTCCAAGGGGCACCAGACCGCCCCAAGACGGCTCCAAGTGGCCCCGAAGCCTCCCAAGGGTGATCCTCTCTCGACCTGGCCGCCATGCGTTCCACTGGCCATCGCTCGGACGTCCATTCCCCGTGCATGTTTCGATTTCGCCCCCGAGAGGCCTCAATATGACTCCAAGACGGCTGCCCTAAGAGCGCCCAAAAGCGCCTCAAGAGCGGCCCCAGAGCGGCCCCCGAAGAGGCGGCCCTTCGAACCCCCGAGGGGGTGGGGGGACTCATCGGCGCTGCCCACTTCTTGGATCGATGACCTCCAGAATGGCCTCAAGAGGGCCCCTAAGGCCCCCAACATTTTCCCACGACGGGCGTCCAAAACAATGATGATATTCCTGGACTCCGCAATCCTGCGTCGACGACGCCACGTCAAAGACAGCCACGGCGATCAAGTTGAAACGAAACACCGATGCACAACAAGCCTGATTAGAGGAGGCCCCAAGAGGGCCCGAACGACCTCCAGAGTGGGCCCAAGACGGTCTCAACTTGGCCCAAGCAGGCTGCCAAGGGGCTCCCCGTACCGAGTGATCCCACAGAAGGCATCCGACTCCTGGGTCTGCGCAGGCTGAGGCCGAGCCTCGGCGGGACGGATGCCCCCGCCCCCATCCTTGTTCCATTGGATGCCGTCAGAACTCGACCCAACAGCGTTTGCCGTTAGCGTTTTCTGTTCGTTTTCCATCGTGATGTTTTCGTTCTACCTCTGCAAAATGGTCCACGAATCGCCGAAACACCGTTTGGTTCAAGCCCTGGCTGTTCTTGCACCTCCATGGTTACGGCACGTTCGTGTCGTGCCGACCCCGGCGTTGCTTCCTGACACCGTGGGGATCGTTCAATCTTGAACGATCGCTGGTCGACACGATGCGAACCTACTGTAGGGCAAATCGCCAATCGCGGCCGCGGCGAAAAGGTCGGACGGCGTCCAGGAGCGAAGCACAGGACAGGGGCAACGGTCTAAATTAGCGCACAGAAAGAAGAAGGCGAAAAGAGAAATGACCAAGCGAGGAGGGAGGCAAACAGGAGGCGAGTCTCGCTGCCGCTCACAGGACGGCGCACACCAGGAAGTCCTTCCGGGCGACGGACTGGTGGGGATACTTTCTTGATTAGCGGCCCGCAAGAAAAAGTCCAGAGGGCGTAAGGACCGAGGCTGGGGCACAGCGCAAGATAATTAGCGCGAGAACGCGCGGAGTGCACATGCAGCGAGGAGTCGCCCTGACGGCGCCACCTCGGGAAGAAACAGACACAAGCAGCCGGCCGCGAGGCACGCACAGCCTGCACCGGTGCAGTAGCAGAGGCCAGACCAGCCGAAGGCAGCGGGAGCGGCGGACGGAAGCGCGAGCAAGCGAGGAGCCGCCCAAACGGCGCCCGCAAGCAGCGACCACTTGCCAACCACAGCACGCACGGGGCCTGTACCCATGCAGCCGCGACGGCCAATTCAGCAGTAGGCAGCAGGGGAACTACCTACAGGCAGAGCGAACGGAGCGAGAGGCGGCGAGACAAGCAGAAGGAACCCCCACTCACGGAGCACCCGGTGCTCATCGATTACCACAAGGGCAACTGGAGAACTCCGCCGAAAAGAAATGGAAGGTGCCAGGGGCGGACAACCGACACGCACGGTAGAACCACCATAGGGTACACTGACTGACGAGCGTGCCTTGCTCAGGTCCCAACCCTGCTACCACAGCCTGTGCCAAAGTGGCGCGCCGTGGCCCGCTGCTATATATCCTCACTCCAGGAGATGACCCGGTGCATCCAAACTGCGGGGCGACTAGCTCACTGAGACTCACTGATCCCGCCGACAGGCGTCTGCCGTGCCCCAGGCACGGGGAAGGGCGACTGCAGCTTGCCGGCAGTTACTAGTGGGGATACGCGAAGCGTCAAGAATTGTTGGGCTCCCCGCTAGATACACCCATGCTTTGCAGCTGCACGCGCCCGCCGCCACCTCACGCTGTGCCACCGCACGAGAGATTGCCACACCCTAATTCTCGCACGCACTCGATCAGAAGGGATGGATTCAGCGCGCGGGATGTCCGATTCCAAGCCACCAAATCCAAAAACGATTGGCGTCTAATGCTTCCCGCCGCCTTCAACCGACCTCCCGCCAGCTTCCGCCGGGCGGGCCCGCGGCGACCCTCTGGGTACGCCGAAGAGGGGGCCAGAGAGAGAGAGGTGGGTAGCGCACCATGGCCCAAGGTAAGTGCGCGGACGAGGGGGGAGGGCTGGGAAAGCACGGGAAGACGAAGGAGAGATGACTGTGAAGTCTGGGAGATCTCATGGCCGCTGCCACGAAATCCACACACACAATCCTCATCCCTCTCGTCGAGGATGGGAACAGTAAATATACCTATAACGCTATTCCGCGCGCACCTCTCCCGGTCCTTCGCCCACGTCTACTCCTCCCTTCCCCTCCCCTCCTCCTCCTCCTCCTCCTCCTCCTCCTCCTCCTCCTCCTCCTCCTCCTCCTCCTCCACCTCCACCTCCACTCCTCCTCCTCCTCCCACCTCCACCTCTACCTCCACCTCCACCTCCTCCTCCTCCTCCTCCTCCTCCTCCTCCACCTTCTCCTCCTCCCCTCCTCCTCTCCTTCCTCCTCCTTCTCCTCCACCTCCACCTCCTCCTCTTCCTCCTCCTCCTCCTCCTCCTCCTCCTCCTCCACCTCCTCCACCTCCTCCTCCTCCTCCTCGCAGACTGCCTCCGACACCAAAGTCCGCAGCTGCCTCGGAGGCTGGCGGCGCTCACGAAGGGGGCAGCGCGAGACGGGCGGCCTCGTGATAAGGAAGGGGGGGCTCTGCTGAGAAGCCAGGAGGCCTCCTCGGAAGACCTCTGGCCTTCGAAGAGGGCGTCCGGCCACATCCTACACTTGTGGATGCCACGACAATGGGCACCCTAACAGTCCTATCCTTGAATCTACTAAGATGTGTTTAACTTGTGTGATAATGCTCTAAACATGTCTTGAACATGTGTTTTACATGTTTAATACGTGCTTAATACATGTTCTAGACATCTGGAAATTATTTGGCAACCCGCTTCCTCTCCATTCATCGACTTCCACAGCCCTACCCCATCAACCATTAATTCTCTCGAGTCGACGGGAGGCGGGGGCAGGGTTCAGTTTCCGCCACGTGTTCGACGAAGTCCGAACGCTACCCCCGCCGCCCATCGAGTTGCCTGAATCGTTGACCGGCGTGGGTGGGGTTCGCATTCGCCGCCGAGCGTCTCATAAGCCTCGGGGGCCTGAGAAGGCCACTGCCTTCTGAAAAGACCCTCCGCCTTCTCGGAAGGCTACCCCCCTCGCGCTACCCCCCTTGCGCGCGCCGCGAAGGCTGTCTTGCTCCATTGGGTGAGGTCGCGACCGCTGGAAAAGATTCCAAGTAGAGGCCTCCTAAATTGGTGCCGGAGCAGATGGTGTCCGAGGATCGCGCTGCATCCCCGATGCATCGGCGACGTCGGCGATGCATCGGCGACTTCGGTGTGGAGAAACTCGGGATGCACATCGAGCCGCATCGCCAATGCATCGGCGATGCGGAGCGATCCTTCGACCCCATCTGCTCGGACCCCATTTGGGAGGCCGAGGGAGGCTGCTCTGTGCGCGCGCAGCGGCCTCCGGGCCACGGCAGCGGACGGGGGATGAGGCGCTGGCACGAGGTCCGGCTCTGACGGATGGACTTCCGAGCCTTCTGAGAAGGCCCGTCCCTTCTCACTTCCCCCCCGGGGCTCGCCGCCGAGAATCATACGGAATGCTGAAAGGTATGATCATGCAGTTCAACGAGGCGTCTGGCGAGATCCCCGTTTTGACAAAGGATCTCCCATCTGTGTAACTGGCCATGAGTTCGGAGGAGGTCTCAAGCGAGGGCCTCGTTTTTAGCAGGAGCCGTCCTCCAGAGAGTAACGCACGATTCAGCGACGAAAAGATACAGGTTTTACGCGAGCTGACATGGCGACCCTGCGCCACGGCCTGCCCGGGCCGCCACCGCGGCACACCGCGTGAGGACGAGGGCGCTTACGCCCCGAAAGGCTTCCACAGCGGCTGGGGGAACGCATACAGGCAGGCCCCTGCCAGAAGGAACGCCAAATAAGGAACGACGCCCCTTTTCCATACTCAAGAAATGAAAATGTAGGGAACGGCCGAGCCCCTTTTTGGAAGCGTTCCCTCATCGTTGCCTCTCGTTTTGACAGAGACCCCCCCCTTTGTGGCCAAACTTTGCCCAAAAGTTTGGCCACATAGGCGTATCCTAGAAGGCAAGGGGCGGCGGTGATTTGCCGTAGGCATCTTCGACAACATAAGCTGTTCCGCAACAGGAGGCACCTGGAAAGTTCAGACCGTCACGGTGTGACACTCACGTACCGCCGTAAGGATACAAACTGTCAAGCCGCCCTGGGACAAGCGTCTTCGATGACGGAAAAGCTGATTTCATACCGTCCTTAGTCCGCTAGTAATAACATCGCTCCAGCGAGCACCCGTGAAACTTTGAAATTCTCGAGAGCCATCTGTACCCGCATTTCCAGATCCTCTGATTATCCTCCCTCGGTGAGTCTAAGGTCATCTCAGATCAACCTCCATACCCCCGCTCCTGTGCAAGCGACCTCGAATTAGTGGTCGCGACCTGCATGCGGGACCTCACTGGACATAGAACGCCCCGTGCTCAAATCAATAATATGAATGCGAGCTTACTGCCGACACTCGTCAACCAGCGGCCCGTCACAGCACTCTTGGCCATCACCAGAAGAATGCGGAGAACAGCCGCGCAGTGGACCCCCGAGCCACCACTGCCTCTATCAATTCCGGATAGCACAACCACACTTGTCATCCGACACTTGCAACAGCAGCGGACGGGCTGGGGCCTTTCTCTTGGTCACCTTGGCGGACTTGGACTTCGATGCCTGCTCCACGGAAGAGGGGGAGGGAGGGGACAGATAGGAAGGAGGGAAAGGAAGGTGCAGTGAGGCCGATAACCTTCCCAACCAAGCCAAACCCACGGGCCAAAACTGCGGCGTGACAGCCACGCGTTGCTAAGCCACGAGGGGGCCGAAAGACTGAACAAGTGCATCGGTCGAACCGGGAATCCACAACAACACGAGCAACGCACATGAAGTACACAATTGGGACAACAGGTTGCAGCCTGAATCGTAAGCTGCCTGGCGAGCTCGGTGCAGAAGCGCTGTTGAGCGTATGCGCAACTGTTCCTTTCAAAGAGACGAGATCTGCAATTTACCGACACGCCACGGCTCCGCAGCCCCGCCCTTCCGGAACAGACCACGAGACCAGCAAAACGCAAACTCGTGCCCGACAGACGGCGGTACCCCGTCTCCCCTCCGAGCTCACGCCGAGCAGCGAGGAGTGGGGGCGACAGGCCGCGCGGCCTCGAGCCAGGATTGGTTGCAGGCGCGCACAGGAAAACGGCGGGCTCGGCAAGCGAAGCGGCCGAATGAGCAGGAGAAGATACGTCGGGGGCCGCGGCGAGCGAGGCCCCGCCGAGCTGCCAGGAGGTCGTGGGAGCCGGCCCCGCCGAGCTGCCTCTGCGGCCAGGGCGGTGCAGCGCGCCAGAGCCGAGGGCGTCCTCTGCCGCGGTGCAGGGGTCGCCGAGCTCGATAAGAGCAGAGCGGAGACCTCTTCCCATACCCGTGGGAACTCTTGCACAGCGTGTCGCGGCGGCGGCCCCAGCGACACGCCATGCCTCACAAGCGGATCGCGTGTCGCTACGCTCCGCGGGGCGAGAGGCCGGGAACGGTTTGGGACGTTGACGCCTGAGGGCCCCAGCGTGGATAGCGTGTCGCGCCGAGGCATGGTGGGCCATAACCAGCGGCGCGACACGCTAAGCCAAAGTCCCCGACCGTACGTCCAGCTTCCCCGGAGTTCGATACAGCACACCTTGGCGCGAGGGGCGCCAATCCTCTTCGTGGTCCTGATGCCGCTCTTGGCATTCGTCCTCCTCTTCTTCCTCATCGCTGCACCATGGGAAGACTTCGGTTGAGAGATGTGTCTCCACAGCTTTAAAGCTTGTGTGAAAAAATGTTTCTTCATCGTATTCTGCTTCTTCTTCTTCTTCTTCTCCCTCCACCTTCTACTATTCCTGATCGTCTCCTCCCCTGCTGCTTCTCTACATCCTGCCCCTCTTCATACTCCTCACCGTCCTCCTCATCCTCCTTCTAACTCGGATTCCTCCCCCTCGTGCCCGCGCGTCCCATCCTCCTCCTCCGCCTCCTCCTCGTCCTCCTCCTTCTCCTCCTCGTCATCCTCCTCCCCCTCCTCCTCCTCCTCCTCTTCCTCCTCTTCGTCCTCCTCCTCCTCCTCCTCCTCCTCCTCCTTCTCTTCCTCCTCGTCACCATCATCATCATCATCATCATCATCAGCATCATCATCACCACCACCATCATCATCAACAACCTCATCATCATCTTCCTCATCTTCATCATCATCTTCATCTTCATCTTCATATTCATCCTCATCCTCATCACCATCATCATAATCATCATCAGCAGCACCCGCATAATCATCATTATCATTATCATCATCAGCACTATCATCATCACCGTCATCATCATCATACTCATCATCATTACCGACATAATCATCATCATGGTCGTCGTCATGATCATCATCGTCATCATCATCGTCACCATCATCATCATCATCATCATCATCATCACCAACACCATCTCCATCATCATCAGCAGCACCAACATCAGCATCAGCATCATCAACAACACCACCGACGTCACCACAATTATCACCACAATCATCATCACAAACATCACCACCAACACAATCATCATCAACATCACAATCACCATCACTATCACCATCACCATCACCATCACCATCACCATCATCAGCAGCATTATCATCGTCATCATCATTATCATCATCATCACCATCACCATCATCATCATCATCAGCATCAGCATCAGCATCAGCATCATCATCACGCCCCCCCTCGATGTTGTTGTCCTTCTCCTCCTCTTGCTCCTCTTCCTCGTCTCCATCCTCCGCCCCCTCCTCCCTCCTCACCCTTCTCCCTCTTCCTTTTCCTCCCCCTCTTCCACATCCTCGCTTGCCTTGGAGATCTTCTCCAGCACCTCCTCCATGATCTCGTGCACCCGCGGGTCCTCCTCCTCCTCTTCACCTCGGCGGGGCGCGCACAGCAGGGCCCGAAGAGAAGCTAGGAGAGAAAGACGAAAAGGCTAAACACGATAGCGAACTTCGGGGCCGCGGGGTCAAGACATCGCGCTCAGCCGAACGCCGCCTTACACGCTCCTGATCGACCTTCGATGTCGCATTGACCTCGTCGGCGTCGACGGCATCAGGCCGGACCTGCACCCAGGCAGCACACACGCGATGAACATGTCCACGTCCATGTCATCGCGGTCTGGGCACCGATATGCGATCGCATGAATATACGCAGAAGGCATCTATAAACCACCACATCCAGGGCCATCCTGGCCCTGGCATGGTGTGTACGCCATCCTGACCGAGGCCAGGAGGGTCTATACATCATCCTGGGGCCCAGGATGGCCCTGGCCTGGCACGGTGGTGGTGTATAGATGCCTTCGTCGGAAGATATGAGATCACATGGATACGCTCCGAGCGGGGCATCCGCGCAAAGCTGCCATCCGTCCATGGGGCCGCGTCCGAGGAGTCTCGACCGCGAGGCCGTGGACATGGACACGCGTTCCGCCCACGAACAGTACCGATGGCGCGGTGCGCTTCGGAAGAAGGAAGAGCACACGCTAGCAGATCCAAAGGGCGCTGGATAGATGTGCGTTGCTGGTCGTGCACTGCTGCATCACGGTGATAGGGCAGAGCGGTCTTACGTCGACCCAAGGTAAGTGGCTGAAATGGTGTTCCGCGGTCTTGATTTTCGCTGTCCTGCCTTGTCGGTTTCGCCACGCGTCCCGCCCGTGACCCGCCCTGGATCCGCTCCGCGACCCACCCCGCGACGCACTCGCAACCCACACCCACGACCCGCGCGCGACCCACCCGAGGCTCGATCCTCTGGACCTCACAGCGGCTTCACACCCCCAGCTTCAGCGTTGCGACACTTCAGTATCCTGCCGCGTTTTCGCGTGCACGCTGCACGAACATTGGTCGGTCATCGTCGGGAATGCCACCGAGCATCTTCGCCTCGCTATCTACATGACCTGGGTCACAGCAAATACCCAGGCCCCTTGCCCGTCCAAATGCTTGCTTCGCGGCGAGAACTGATCTTGTGGCCACACAGCAAGATCGCACTGTCAACGCAACGGTCATGAGTGACAGCATCAGAGATGGAATCCATTTTACCACCATCAAGGACAGAGGTCGGCCAGTTACGGCGGCGGGTCCTGCAAAAATTTGAAAAACAATTCACCAGCGCCGCAGTCAAGCCGAATGCGTTGATTCGCCTCGAATGCCCATGTGCGTGTGCGCACGGCCGCAGATTTGATTACACATTAAATACTCACGGCGGCGAGCGAGGGGGGGAAGCGAGAAGGAGAGGATCTTCTCAAAAGGCAGCGAGGCTCCTCAGAAGGCCTCAGGCCCTCTGAAGGTTTTGGTATCTTCGGGGAAGGCTTCTGAAACTTCTCAGAAGGCCGGGGGACTTCCGAGCCTCCTGAGAAGGCCCGCCCCTTCTCTCTTCCCCCTGGTCGCGCCGCCGATACTCAGGTAGCCCTCGGCGCAAGGATCAACTGCCGATGATGCGCCTGACTGGACTGGGCAGCGTCGACTTCGCTGCCGAAGGCATGCAGAGCCATGACTGCAAGCCTGCCGGCCTTCCTCGCGGGCACCACGCTCAGGCCCATGCGATCGGGGACATCGACTGACGGGGGACACTGCCCCCTCCCAAAACACAACAAAATCACAGCGAGTGATCAGGTCCTTCTACGTTGTTCGCATTCTCCCCCTGGGTCGAACAGTATCCTCGCCTGCGATGGCACTCCAGTGAGCGGCCTCTGCCCCGCCTCCACCTCCACCTGCCTCCCTCCCAAATGCCTCCCCAGCCCCCCCCCTCCCCTTGCCCCGCCCTCCCCCCCCTTCGGGGAACAGGAAGGTAGCGATATCAATGCCCCCTGGCATTCTGCCGGGGTGCGCTCTGACCTGAATTTCGAACAGAATCCAGCCGTGGCGACGAGGGCTCTCTAAGACGGGCAGCGGTATCGGTACCTCTGGCTCATGTGCCCTCCCGCCCTGTCCCGCGGAGGGGGCCAGGCTCCGAAGATCGACCCGAGAACCGAAACGTCCGGTCGCCCTTGGCCTCCTCGGTACGAGAACGGCGCTCATGCACCGTACCGTGTTCGGACTTCCCATGTGCCCTCCCTCTCTTGCTCCCGCTTCGCGGCCGCTTTCGCCTGTCTCCCTCTCCTCCTGCCGCCAGTCAATTTGCGATTTCCGTGTCTTGGGCCGCCTGAGCGCACGTGCGGACTGCCCCTGCCGCGCTGCGGCGCACAAGTTCGGACTCCCCTCAGGCCTCGCTCCAATGCAACGCGGTGCGCTGCATGGCTGTTCGGCTCCCAGGGCCCAAGGACTGTGCACCGCAACTAGCGTTCCTGGGTCAAGGATTGGCGACGCCCCAGGAGACGCCCACGCGGCAATTGCGGCGCATGTAAGGCGAAGGCAGAATCGATACAAAAAAGCGGACCGATGTAAATCGGAAGTCGGCGGGTCTGGAGGATGTATCTAGAAGAAGAAGAAGAAAAAGAGCACCGCTGCCGTCTCCGAGCGTTCCAGCACGCTCCGAGAGCGCTCCAGAGCGCTCTGGAACGGCTGTGTATATCGATCCGAGGCCCGTCCGAGCACACAGGCCGCCGGCGGACACTGGGTTGGGTCGGGCACGTCCTCCTACGAGCGGGTTTTTGAGGAAACATGAGACATATGGCTCCAAGAAATCCGCGCGGGGCGCCAACAGTTCATGTTTGTGGTGCTGTTTCTCCTGCGAATATCGGGCGCCAAGGCCGTCTCACAGCGTTCTGGCACGCTCCGAGAGCGCAGCGGATGCCGTGACGGTGGACACCCTAACAATCCTATCATTGAATTAAACGTGTGCTCAAAAGGTGTAACATCTGTTCTAAAAATGTTGTCTAACATGTTTTACATATTAAAAGATCAGCGTTGGACAAATCTCCCTTTAGTAAACCACCCCTTAGTGAAAACGGCCTGACCGAAACCGACGGACCTGAACCCGCAAAAATGACGGCCGCGACGCCCTCTCGCAAACCGAAAACGGCCAATTCCTCAATCGACGCGTCAGGGTAGGAGGTCTGTGCAACCCCGAAAAAACATGTTCGACACATGTTTTAGACATCTGGAAATCACTTGGCAGCACGATTCCTCTCCATCGGCCGGCTTCCACGACGAGAGCGCTCCAGAACGCGCTGCGACGGATGTGTATCCATCTCGAAACGAGGCCCGTCCGAGCACACAGGCCGCCCGCGGACACTGGGTTGGGTCGGGCACGACCTCCTACGAGCGGGTTTTGGACGAGAAAAGAAAAAGATTGCCAACAAAAACAAACAAAACAATATTTCCAAATATGCTCAAAAATAGCCTAACATAGGCTCCATTTAAGAAGCCCTCAAAAATAACCAGAAAATGAAGCAGATGGCAAACAAATGCTCAAGCATAGCCAACAACTGCTCAGAAGTAGCCCCAGACATGCTCGGCGGTGGACAAATCTCCCTTTAGTAAGCCTCTCTTTAAAGAAAACGGCCTGGGACCGAAAGCGACGGACGTGGTCCCGCAAAAATGACGGCCGCGACGCCCTCTCGCGAACCGAAAACGACCAATTCCTCAATCGGCGTGTCAGGGTAGGAGGTATATCCACCTCTGAACCTTGGGTTAGGTCGGGCATGTCCTCCTACGAGGGGGTCTTGGACGAAAAACGAGACATATGGCCAACAAATGCTCAAACATAGCCAAAAATGACAGAAATCGGAAACCAGGCAATGGCTGCTGTCTTCGTCCTTGAGGGAAGAAGCCCGCTGACTGTGTCGCGCGCCGCGCCTCGTTCCGGCAAGTTGTTTTTTCCTTCCGGGAGGGCCGCTTTAGCAGCCACGCTTTTAGCAGCCCTCGCCCGGCTTCCGACAGAAACCGTCCCCCGGCTACTTGTTGGCCCATCTTGGAATCCTCCTCCTGCAGAGGGACAGGGGACAGGGCTGGCTTCAGCCTCGGGGCCTCTGGGTGCGGACGGGCCGGGCGGGGGTGGGACGCACAATGACATACTAGTACTAAGTCGGGCGTGTCCCCCCACAGGGGGATTTTCGGTGAGAAAAAGAAAATACCCCCAAAAATACTCCCAAGTGGTCAAAAAATACTCCAAACATAGTCCCCGGATTATTTTGATGACTATTTTTGGATAGTCCCCCTGTAGAGGGACAGGCCCGACTTAATACTAGTACTGTATGTTCTCCTTGGAGGCGCGCGTCCGACCCAAACATATAGTATACCCATCTTGCAGTGTGTCGTTTCCCGAGCGGTGTGGCCAGACAGCGCCCGCCACGATGCACATACCATAAGAGCTCTCGGTGCGCGCATCGCCCCTGGGAGGGCAACGCACAGGCAGTAGAAGCATGCTGGGGGGACCTGGCCATCGCTCGGACGTCCAGTTCCCGTGCACTTTTCGGTTTTTCGTGCGTGTTTTTTTCGCTCGATGGTCCAGGATGGTCCTCGCGGAGGAGGAGGAGGAGGAGGAGGAGGAGGAGGAGGAGGAGTAGGAGGAGGAGAGGAAGAGAGCAGGAGGAGGAGAGGAAGAGGAAGAGCAAGGGGGAGGAGGAGGAGGAGGAGGAGGAGGAGCGAGGAGGAGGAGGAAGGAGGAGGAGGAAGGAGGAGTGAGGAGGAGGAGGAGGAGGAGGAGGGGAGGAGGAGGAGGAGGAGGAGGAGAGGAGGAGGAGGAGGAGGAGGAGAGAGGAGGAGTGGAGGGGAGGAGGAGAAGAAGGAGGAGGAGCGGAGGAGGAGGAGGAGGAGGGTCCCCGCCGAGAAAAACATGCACACGCCCGAGCGAGGCCAGGGGGCGCCGTGGGGACGGGCGGGGACGCGGCGAGCCCTCGGAGCCCGCGGGCCCGCCGAGCCCCTGCCGCGGTGGCCACGGCGGCCTCGCCCGCGGCGCGGCCGCAGGCGGGGCAGGCCCGAGGCCGCCGCCGCCGCCGCCGC